GTATACTTTGCAGAAAAATGTCAGTATCTGTTGGTAAAGTTTTCATCTTCAGCAATCCCGTCATTATCAAAATAACAAACATGAATATAAGAAAAAATTGGTGAAGGTCAATTAATTAACATTTGTAATTCATCGATAAGTAACACACCATGAATAAATCATTTTTACATAAAATTTGGATTTTCTGGGACACGTAAAAAATGTTAAAATTAACATTTTATTTTTTACTTTGTATGTGCATTCTCGAGACATAACGTACTTAAAATAAAAAAAATAAATTTCCCTCGACCCGCGAAATACCTCCAGGAATCTTAATGGTTTTCTGATCACTTGTCGTTGAGACAACAATGCAGTTTTTTGTGCAAAGAGACAAAGAGAAAAAAATAGCTATGCCGAGAATAAATCGCAGCTCACGGCGGCGCCGATTTTTCGCCGGGCGCACCGCCGTTGTATAACGCGACGCTTTACGCGTTGTTTATTTCTGCATTATACGCGAATTACGCTAGCCGGCCTTTACGGTAGTTAGTGCGCCGTGGACATTTCTGGCAGCCGCCGTGGGTGCCACTAATGCCTTGCCAACGCATCGCATCGGCGCGAAATGCACTCGCGCTATTCATTCAGCGCGCGCGCACCAAGATGATAAGTGGAATCGGCAAGTAGAAAAAGAACTGATCCGCGCGACCCCCGAGCGAAGCTAGCAAGAAGATTATTATCATTTACGCGGTAACGCTCCGCCAGAAAACCTGCACGCGGAGAATAAAAAGACACGACGATGGCAACTATGTAGGTGATAACTATACGGGCTTTGTACGTAGAATTAATGTGTATATGTGTGTAGAATTTAATCTATCTTGTAGTTATTGCAACTAAAGTCGATTGGTCAGTGCGATTATCGTTTTGTTGCACTCTCAGTTTTAGTTGCAGTAACTACAGAATAATTTATTAAACTTCATATAGTGTTAACTATATACGGGTTCTGTATGTGTGTAGAATTTAATTAACTATCCTGTAGTTGTCGCAACTAATGATTGGTCAGGAGAACTGTGCAATTATCGTTTAGTTTGAGTTTCAGTTTTAGTTGCAGTAATTATAGAATAATTTATTAAAATGCATACAGTGATAACTGAACACAAAGAGAGAGTCCTATAGTAAAAATCACTACAGGATTTTGTATTCGAGGAATAGATCGACATTCTGTAACAAATTATTATTCTTTTATTTTTCATGTGTGCTATTTATATTTTACATACAGTATATATATAAAATGTTTTGTTGCATAATTTGCTATGTTCATTAGCAAAATAGATTTTAGAAAAAGAACTAACAGTCTTTTTTGTGATTTTAATATAAGTCTATTTTTGCGTTATTAAAAACATAGTAACTAAAAAATATTTATATGTGTGTGTGAAAAGTGAACTATAATATATGTTTTCTCCATTTAACATTTTTCTCTGTAAATCTCCTAAGTGTTCAACTTTAATTTACGTTAACTATGTAAAAAATGGTTATTAAACCATATATATTAATTCTAATCTACACACAAAACTTGCACAGTTGTCATCTATATAGTTATCACTACTATGTATTTGTCTCTGAATTTTTCGAGCAGACAAAGATTCCTTGGTATATCGGAATATTTAACCGGTCATTTTTAATTGTGCTAATAATATGATGCAATTATCTTTTCATTTTATCCTTAAGAAAAATTAAAAGCCATCTTCTTATCGTCTAAAAAATGTCAAACTTTACACGAGGTTCTCCCTTAATTTATCAACTTATTCTCGCGTCGATCGTACGATTACATCAAGTTCATGAGCGATGCACCTGCCGTCGTGCGTGTCATTAATAATGGTCGACGCAGGCGCCAATTTCAGCGGCGTTTTCCGTCAACGAAGCTCTTAAATTGTTTATTCCTCCACTTCGGAGGGCGGAACGCGCGACATTGTCCTAATTATAGCGTAGCGATCGACGGGAAGCGTCGAGTGCGCGCTCTCCCGCGAGTGAACTGCGTTTTTCGCTCATTCTTTCATGATCGGGGTTCGCGAGTGCCGTGAATTATTCCATTAAAACCGGTTGTGTTCTATAAAAGCCTCGATTTCATACGCCCGATGTGTTGCCTCGATATTTTTACTACTTATTTCCGCTCATTGATCTAAAACCATTCCGGGTATGGATTGGCTTGGCGCTTTCAAAGACCAATGCGATTTAATCGCCTTGTTGCAGGAAGCATCTGTGACCTCTTTTTCCTTGCGCTTCTAAGAGAAAAGGTCGAATGCGGCGAAAGTCACAAATTTATACGCGCGTGCACACACACATACGTACGCGAAAGAAAACAATACTGTTGACACGTAAATCTGCTTGCGCCAACCAGATTCGTTTTAAGCGGTTAAAAAGTAATTTTAGAATCAATTAATTTTCTTATTCTTTTGTGGTTATGTAGTATTGACATATAATTGTTTAAAATAACGTTTGGCGGGAAGCCCAACATAATCTTAAAAAGTATTCAACTTAGTAGCGTCAAAAATAACAATAGATAATGTGCATATCCAACTTGTATTCTTTACAAATTCCAACAAGGGAAAAATGCTGCATCGATTGTTCATTTCTCGGCGAACGTATTGTTGTATCGTTCAATATGTGCGTATTGTAGTTTAAGCGGTTTATAAAGATCTCAATCAGATCGACAAAACAACGCTTTAGAGGGTCTTTTAAAGTATGATAACGATAATTCGGAGCAAATGCTCGCTGAGAATTCGGCACAAATGCAAAAAGAGCTTGCAGAGCAAAGAGAGAGAGAGAGAGAGAGAGAGAGAGAGAGAGAGAGAGAGAGAGAGAGAGAGAGAGAGAAAGAAGGAAAGAGAGTTGAGAGTAATACAGCAAACCATTTCCAAATGCCTACACGAGATGGGAAAGATCCAAAAAGAAGGAAGATAGGTTCTGCATGAACTCACTGAAGCCAACAAAAATCAGCGAATGGCAGCGTGTCTTCCTCTTCTCAATAAGTAGCGTAGAAAGTTTTTCTTATGGAAAATCGTTATGAGCGATGAAAAATTGATATTCTATGACAATCAGAAACGCAAAAAGTCATGGTAAATTCTGGCGAACTATCACCATTGGTCACAAAGCCCAAAAGCTTTGGAAAGAAAGTTCTACTCTGCATTTGGTGGGATATCAAGAACGTGATTTATTATAAGCTATTGGAACAGGATGAAACAGTTACTGCGAACTGCTACTAACGCTAGTTAATCCGCTTGAGTCAAGAATTGGAACAAAAACGCCCTATATTGACAAAGGAAAATGTCCTGTGAAATTGTTGTATAACAACGCCAGATCATTACTTCTTAGACAAAAGACACCATAATGAATCTTGGCTGGGACGTCTAGCAGTATCCGACGTATTCACCAGACAGAGTTCCTTCCGATTACCATTAGTTCCGATTAATGCAATAGTCCAATACGCACTTTCAATCAGACAGATGAGATCCGAAAATGGTTTGACGAGTTCATCGTGTACAAAAACATAGCACTTTTCCGAAAGATATCTTAAAGTTATAGAAAGTAACGGTAAATACTTTGAAAAACTCGTTTTACTTTTTTATTAATAAACCTTGAATTTGACAAAAAAATTTGGATTATCCATTTATCTAAGATATAATAGAGTAAAAGCCATTTATTCTTACATATTTTATATGCAATGGCTAGGCATCGGCTAGCCATTGCAGATCATAAAACCGATTCTACGTTTCAATGAATAAAACTGAGCAACACTAAAATTGTTTTAAGGTTTGGTAAGTTTTTTTCTTATAAATTTTTTACTATTAAGTACGAATCTGGACGTAAAATGTCATTATCACGTCAAAACTTCGAGAAAAGGTTTACTTGCTATAAAGATGCCAAAAACGTATTTTATGCATTTCTCAATCATTTACATCTCTAAATAGAGATATGCTAGAGACTTTGTAATGTCTCAAATTAAAAGTTAAGTTAGTACTCTAAGTTTAACAAGTAAGCAAAGACAGATAACTGAAAGGTCTTGCACAAAATCGTATTAACTAAGGGAAATAATAGTTTTTACTCTCTCCAATGTATCTCCTGGTTTTTTCTGTTGTTTTCTAGTACGAGCCTCTTTGCCTTTTAAAAAGAAAAAAGATTTCATCAAGAATTGTAAATGAAGAAATCATTAAAGATATCTTTAATGAAGAAATCATTAAAGATAAGATAAGATATATTTTCCAATATATCTTAAAGAAAAGTTAAGATATATTTTCCAATATATCTTAATATAATTTAAAATCTTACAAAAGTAGCACATTCCAGTACATCCAGCACGTCCCACTCCAGAAATATAAATGATCGAAAAGTGGAAAAAATACATTTTTTTAGCACCTTTTATTACAAGTCTCTCAAAATCCTAACTTAATTCCTAGTAAAAATCTATAAGAAATTATTTATTATCTTAAAGACATTTTTTCAGAGTGTAATCAGTCAGTAGTAATAGTAGTGTTCAGGAGATGATTCTCAAGGAAGACCACCAGTGAAGCGCACAGAGTTCCTCTAGTCTAGAGCTAGGACAAGGCATGATGATTTCTGATTGGTCTGCATCTTGTCCGCCATTTCCAGGGATGATGTGAGTGGGAGTGAAAGGGAAAGAGTAGGAGGACAGCTCTAAGACTGAAATAACGAAACACATTGCAGTTTCTCTCTCATTCACTTGCTCACTTCTTTCCTATAAATGGCGGACAGTGTCCGACTTGAGAATTTTAGGTACGCAAATGGAGCCCATTCCCCCCCTCCTCCTCTCTCAGTAAACACAAATCGCTTACTGGTCATTCTTTTCCGAAAGAAAGTAGAGTTCAATCAATAAGTAACGAACAAGAAAATTTCATCTGACCCATCCTTGCTGATTTCTAGCTTCAAACTCAGATCAGCTGATTCCACTGTGGTCGTAGTTAGGTGTTTTAAACTAAGTTTACTAATGTATCGTACGTCTTACTGCTCACCCGAAAAGGAAAGCGCGACATATCGCGGATGCAAAAATCCAGCTTGATTCGGCGGCCTTTAAACGCCTGCTACACTTTTCTCGCGCCGGCAGGCGACTCCGGAGTTTCTCGTTATCTCCCCCGAGCACGCACCCACCTTTTTTTCACTCTTTCGATTCTCACCGATGAGTTCACCTAGTCACTGTGCTCCTCGAGTCACCATCGATCGGTCGATGCGATTCCTCTCGATCGCTTCTGAGCGACGCACCTTCGCAGTTCGAATTTTCTCACGTGCTTCTCACTCTCCCGGGGTATCTCCTTCGCACACGAGATCGCCACGCAAGAACGGAGGAAACACACGCTTCTCGCGAGATCCTCGCCAAATGTTCCGGACGCGCTCGACGACTGCTGGCAACAAATTGCCCGTCCTGCTCTCCTCCAGTCGCTCGTGTCACGATCGAAGCTAACGATATAAACCGCACGTCGTACTCGTCGAGAGAGTTTCGCCACGCGCGACCCTCCTGCGTCCTGTGCCGCGGTCGAGATTCGCAGACGCGGCGCGTGCGTTTCTTGCCGCGCGCGCTATTATCGTTCCCGACGAGGAGAGTATCGGCAATCACGAAGAGGGAATTAGAGGCCCGAACGGACTGGCCGTTCGCGAGATCACGGGGACTCGAGCCTCTGGTCCCTCGATCCTCGATTACGCTCGTCGAACCGATCCTCCATCGCCGGCAGCGGGGACTCGCAGTGCTACGAGTTTCGTTTCCGGTTCAGTCAAAGAGCACGAAAAGCCGCTTCTTCAGCCGACGAGGGGAACCACGACGGCGTTGTCGTAGGTCGCGATCGATCACTCACGTGGCGAGCGCGACAACGTCAACGTGTCAGTCTCGCTGCTCGGACCGTGCCAGAAATTAAGTAAATCGATTCGGAGTCCAAAGTCGGAGCGTCAGCCCGCGGCGCACTTGCGCGCTCCGTATCCCTCGTCACCTGGGAGAAACGTCAAACGTTCGCGGGTGATCGTGGCCGACCGATATACGGACTGCAGGATCAGCTGACTGACATCGAGCATACGCGAGTGTTAATTACACTAACACGAAGCTAAAGTATGAAGTAGAAGTATAGTTATAGATAGAGTTATTGAGAAGAGTTCGTTGTTTCTACGCTAAAAGCGACTCGAAACGATCCCCGAGATCGGCCGGTGCGTCGGGGAGATCCTCTGAAAGACCACAACGCCGCTTCCTCAGGAAGTAATCGGAGTGACGTGACTTGTACGATACCGTGGTCACTCTCGGAGTTTTTGTCTTAATCACACAACTTCCATTAGTCTCATTTCGATAAATGGCGCGAGATTCTGCCGGTGTCTCTCTGTCCTGCAACGAGCGTCATCAGCGGTGAGGAACTCACATCGCCGCGAAATAACATGACGACATGACGTTTTGCAACGTGTCGTTGGGATGTTCGCCAAGGGAGGGGAGGGAGGTTTCACCTGTGAGCTCTCAGAGTCTTCCCCCGTGCGACCTCATGGCGTTCTCCAAAGTCGGCGGACCGGTCCTGACCAGAAGACACTTCCGGATCGCGTTGCTTCCGCAACGTTCCGTAACGTGTATGCCGCCGAGCGGGGCAGCTGCTGCCGGTCAAGAGACGCGGGTACACGCTGCGGGATCCCCCAATATTTCTCCGGATGCGGAAGGTCGCGAGCGCACGTCGGGAAGGTCGGAAAGTCTCTCTTGGCGCGCGCGCGCGCGCTATTCTATCTCGCGGTGCTGCACTCGACTCACGTGGCGGCCTGCTCCGAGCCCTTGTCAGCGGTGACCACTTCCTCGGGCCGTCGACCAATCGGCTGCTGCGCGCCAGGACGCCGCGAGGTACGATCGCGGATCCTCGCCTGCGCTCGGCCACGCTCGGTAGCCGCTTCTCCGTCGCACTCACGCGCCTGTCACACGTGTATGTATGTGTGTGCATGTGCCGCGTGGTCGGCGGTGGTGGCGGTGGCTGTGGCGGTGGCGGTGGCAGCGACGACGGCTGCTACAGCTGCGGCTGCGGCTGCGGCGATGACGACGGCGGCGGCGGACACCAAGGTCCGCAACCACTTTCCGAACTGGTCCGGTGCAGCCGCGGGGTCAGATCGCGGCGACGCCTACGACCAGGACGATGTGGACGTCCAGGACTGACCGTGGTCCTGGTACCGCTTCCACCGGTCTCCGCACGCATGAAAGCACGCGCTGCCTCGCATCGAGCGTGCGCCTCGTCCAGCGTCCGACACGATACTACCTCTCTCCCCTTCCTCTCTATCTTTCTCGCTCTCCCTACGCCCCCTCCACCGCCGCCGCTCGCTCCGTCTCCCTCTGGTCGCGATCCCCGCGCGCGGCTAGGGAGGACGTGGGGAGAACCTCTCTGGTAGCCGCTCATTAAACGCCGCGGTGACGTCAGGAGCAACGATACTCTCGAAATTCGCGAGGGAGCAAGAGAGACGGCGGTCTCTCTGCTCGCGCCGCGTGATTGATCCCGGCGCGATCATGATTGATAAATAGTGCAGCGAGATGTACCGGGAGCGCGGGCTTGCAAATTTAACGAATCGCCGTCGACAACGCGATGACAATGTCGGATACCTGCTAGACTGACCCCACGTAGACAGGTGTACGTAAATTTGACAGCTACTCCGCTAGCCAGTTCGTGCAGATTATGCGCCTTCAAAGTAAGTGGTTCAAAAGGCACTCATACTCATCGTGTGAAGTGACAAAATGGAAATATGAAATAAATACAAAAAAAATTAGCAAAATTTATTTCAAAGAATATATCACGTAAAATATCAAATCTACTTTTGTAAATAATGCTGCATCAATGTAACAAAATATTTACATTATTATATTATGGAAATTTAATGATTAATTCAATGTAATATATTTATCTTACAACTATAACTAACAAAATTGCAAACTGCAAATCATTGATTGTTTCACGTCGTGATAATCACGAAAGTCAAGATGCACAAGTGTACATAAATTGATAGCAAATCTATTAGTCAATTTATATAATTTGCGTTCCTTATAAATAATCTATATGACTCATATACAAAATTGCAAAATATAAATAAAAAAAGTACGAAAAAAATTATCAGAATTTACTCAAATATGTCATGCAAAATGTAACCTGAGAATCTGAGTGCAACTTTTAGTAAATTTGTTACCACACCAGTTAACAAAAAATTTACATTACTCTAATTTAATAATTAATTCAATACAGTATATTTGCATTATCAATGTAATTAAAAGAATCATATAGTTTATATAGTTCGGTATATAGAAATATGGAAAAATTTATCAAAATTTGTTGCAAACAATATACAAAATATAATGTGAAAATCTGACTGTAATTTTTAGTAAATTTTTTGCTGCATTAATACAATATTATATATTTACATTACTGTCAATAATATCAATTTAATGGCATAATATATACAGTGCATAATCAATACAGTGCATTTGCTTCGTCGATGTAAATAAAGCATTATAAAGTTGTCATTATCGATTGTCTCACGTTGTGTGTGGTAACTATAAATATCTATTAGAGGACTCACTCTGATAGAATTAACTCAAGGATGTTTCCTTGTTTATTTTTGTAGAACTACTGCCAATCAGAAATTAAGCGAGCTGCCTTGAGCCTTGTCGCTATTACCTAATTTACATATTTTTTTTTTTCTTAGCTTCACTCTCGATAGTGTTCGGGTCTATGTTATTTTCAGCGCATCAGCTGTTCCACGCGTCGGATAGAATTACATCATATTAAAGCGGCTGATGATGATACCTTCTCCGCTGGCGACTTGTGATTCAGATAGAAATCCGTAGAAAAGGCGCAAGTTCCTCTCGCAACTCGAAAGGAAAATCTCAGTCATCCTCTCCTCTCGCGGATTCTCGCTGCGCCGAGCACGCTCTCGCGTTTTCCTCCCGCGCACGTTTGTCCGCGATTATTAGCGTACAATGATACGCGCGTGCGGTACACCTCGTCGAAAGGTTACCTCCGCGTGTCGTTTGGACGCGGTGGTACAAAAGGCGCGTGCAAAACAAACGTTTCGTCGTGACGTCGGGAGTCGTGGATCGGTAATTTGCGTAATTTACACTGGCGAGCGAGATATAATCGATGTAACCGTACGGTGAAACTGTGTAGCGATTGTTATCGATCATCTGGCCACCAGCAAAGAGTGGAAGGGGAGGTTGTTAATCGCTTATGCGTCCTGAGAACGACGTAACGGAGTCGAACGTGATTCATAAAGCATTCCGCTGGACAACAGAATTTCACGTCATTGTGATTCGTTCACCCCAGAAAGCGTGACTCTAAAAGCCTTAAGAGGATATGGATGCCCACACAATGTGATAATTTGTACTGTTTTTCTATTTTATTGCATAGAAACGCAAATGTTTATACAGAGTGAAAGTACAAATGTCAATGAACGACGGAGTACCCTATATTATATGGAAAATTAAACAACTTTTTATTTGCAACTTTTTCTTTTGTTTTTTATATAACACGGTACTCCGCCAGTCATTGATACTTTTACTCTGTATAAGCAATTGCAATTCTATACAGCTAAATAGAAAAACAGTGCGAAATACGAAAGCTGCATTATATCGGTATTTAGCATCTCCTTAATCATTGCAGCAATACCAAGCACCTCCCGGGCGTACTCTGATGCGGTTTTATTCTAATTTCCTTCAAGCACTATCTTAAAATTCTGCATGAAAGCTGCGTTAAGCGTAAAACAAAAAAGGGAACAATTATTGCAACTTACGATGAATGATTTAATAAATCTTAAATCAAGTTTTTTATAAGATATATCCATTAAACGTACAGTATTACTCAAATACATAAAATGAGTGTTTGAATCACTGTCAAAATTAAACTCTCCCTTTATTTAATCGCCTATTATGAAATGGATATCACCGTTTCCTTGTGAAACGGTCGTGGATCGGTATGACGATATCTACGAGCTATGACGATATCTTTGCACTCACACTTATAATGTATCCTTATAACTTTTAATTATCACTAATTATCATCCTTCACAAACTTATCCCACTTACTTAATTGCGCATTCGTTTATTTTCATTCAATATTACGAAAAATACTGTCTCAATCAGAAGCTGAACCTCCCTATTTGTCATTACTGTCATTATCGTCGAGGCTCCGACAGTATTCATTGCAACACATACGCATGCAACTCATATTGGATCGAAAGTCTCGTCAGATCTCCTCGAATATCCTCAAACGCCTTTTAAACATGCTCATCACGAGAGATAAACTGAACGTATCTGAAGGCGCGAATAGCCACGATACCACAACATTAACGAGGATACTCGAGATACGTCGCTCGCACGGGAAATGACGATGCACCACGCGAGTGTCTCGGGGAATCTCGCTTGGACGACATTAGCGAGCGGATAGGAAGTGCAATTTAAATTCGCGGAAGAACATCAGGGATGAGATTCGCGACGCGAACGACGAACACCGGGCGAGTGAGCCAGGCAGACTAAAGCAGAACGAGAATGAGAGAGAGAGAGAGAGAGAGAAAGAGAAAGAGGACGTCATCGTGGGTGGTCCGTCTAAAACGTCCGTAGCTACTTGGAAATGGATTTCGCCGCGCTCGCGACGTCCACCGCTATTTAAAGATGAGATGTACACACGCGCGCGTCCGTATTCTTTTCCCGGCGCGTTCCTCTGCTGCTCTTCTCCGCGGCGACGACGTGGAGTCCGTCTCTCTTCGGCAGCACGCGCGACTCGCTGGAAAACGCCGTGAGTGCAAAGACACCTTTCACGCGATACTATCGTCGGCGGTAATCACCGGGGCGAAAGGTCCCGGCACTCAAAGGCTCGGTTTCGTCTGCGGGTTTTGTAATGAGAGGCGCGCCGGCGCGTCGTGTATTTATTTTCAATAAACGCACCGAGAAAGAGAGAAAGAGAGACGGATCGAAATGAGCTGGCGCTCTCGCGCTCTCGTGAGCGCGCGGATGTAGATGTTAACGACGAGTGAGTATCACACAGTCACGATTAGGGATAATATTATTATTGTCGAGCGTGTGGAGCCGCGCGAGAAGAATGGCCGAGTGGAAACGTGACTCCGCCGGCCAGACGGTCTGCTGCACGCGCCTTCTTTATCTACTCGAATTTGTGAACTTCGCGCCACGCGGACGCGCCACATGACACACGCCCGCGTTGAAGATTTATCTTACCATCCGTACACAAATGAGTGCTATCGTAGAGCTGAAACCACGGCTGTGTCGATGACTTTCTTTATGGGTCAAGTTCGATTATGCGCGCTGATGCGCGCCGCGTCAAGGGGGAAATCTTAAGCGGCGTGATAAGTTATTCTTGTAGCGAGGCGTGTGGCATATACGCTGCGGTGGTGCGGATAGTAGTGATTGTGATTGCCAGATTTGAAACTTTAAAGGATCTAGATAGGCCTCAAAAGAGAAAATAATAGAAAATGGAAAGTGTAGTTTGTATAAAAATATATTTCTTTAGAAGAATATATCGATAAACTTGTAGATATATAATTACGATGTATATAATTACAATAACGATAAATAAATAAAACATCGTATTACAGTGAGAATACAAGAATGTCAATCACAGATTTATAATTATAATCGATGACGACAAACAAACAAATATATTATACAATAACAAGAATATAATCGCGAATTTATAATCACTATAATAGTGGCAAATAGAAAATTAGTTAGTAACAGAAATATAGTATATGCTACATATTTTTAATCTCTAGATTCTGGACATTTCTAATATTAGCTGGACATTGATAAAATCTTAACTGACCGTCTGGCGACTCCAATAGTGATGATGGTTGTGGTGGGGTAGTAATGGTACTTATTCGCGTCCTGTCTTTGCATTTTTTAAACTTCTCCCAATCACTTACAGTTAAAAAAAATGTTTATTTTTTATTTCTCGCCAACATAACTTTTGTATGCTTTTTAAGCGCTTTCCAGACAATCCCAGAACGCACAATAAATTACGCTTTCTCTCTCCATCTTTCCTTCCCTCTCTCTCCCTACTCTTTATAATTTATAAGGGTAAAAACGGTATGCGCTGCAGTATTAATAGTTAAGCGCTTGCGCGCGCACGTGTATGAGGCGAAGCTGCCAGTTTGAATCATAAAGATAGCTATTCGATAAAGAACAATTTGACGCCAGAAAAGTTTGTCAGTTACGTTCGATGTCATTGCGAATCTGCTTTCTTTTCTTCTGCGTTCCTTTT